GGGTCTTATTACTCTGGGTTCATGAAACAAGCTGCCGTTCAGGAAATCCATTCCATAGTTTGAAGCCAGCATGCATCATGGATCAGAAATATCAGCAAGTGGATCGGAAAAATCCGATACGTAAATTATGCTGGTATCGGAGGCAGATACTGATACTGGATCGGGTCGGCCCCATCCCTACTAGAAACTGAGACAAGTGAGGTTAGAGCCAAAGTTTTTGAAGCAGATTCCAGTCATCTGGAGCAGCAGAGGCAAAGCCAGACATGGTCTTTAGAGTTGTTAATCACGAATAAGAGGATCGGGTGTTATTCTTTGAAACCGATGGTGGTTACAGTAGACGAGTTAAATATGGAGGTGACAAACACGGCAATGTCTTGTAAATGAGAGTAAACAAATTAATTTCATGACGAGTATGTAGAGAAGGCCATTTAACAAGACAGTAGAGGTGATTATGTTCTATAAGGAGCATTTGTAACAAAGACAATAGCAGAGTGATAAATTGTGTCCAGCTTACAAAGAACACCCTTACAAGCATGTTTGTAAGGGTGCAAAGGTGCAATGCACCCTTAGGGTGCATTCACACCAGCCCTGTTTAGTCCACTTTAAATGAACTCTAGCTCATTTTCCTAGAAAGTCCGGTTCGTTTGGGGAGGTGTGAACGCGCCATCGAACTCTGTCACGGAACAAAAAGACGAACTCTGGCCCGGGCTAAAACCTAGGTCTTGGTCCGGTAGAAGAGAACTCCAGCGCGGTTCAAGTACAGTGTGAATGTAATCAGACCGGGCCCCGCTCCACAAGCAAGAAGTGGAGTACAGCGCAGGGCAAACAAACACGCATTTCTCTTACCTCATATGGAGCCGTCAGCTGCCTTGTGTGAAAAACAATATTCTCCATGGTCTTCTGTCTCATCTTCTGCTCATGCTGAGTCCATTGTTGAAAAATGACAAAATATAACTCCTAAAACTGCTAAAACTTGATGCCACTTCGTTTTTATTTTTATTTCCAGAAGAAGAAGAAGAAGACGTGTCTTCAGAGGTTTTTGAGTTGTTTCTTTCAGTAGTTCTTGGTGCAGCGCCCCCACAGGCGAGCGGGGGAATAGGTTGGTTCAACAGGTTGACTCGACTGCACAGTGCAGTGTGAATGCAAACGCACCAGCTCAAATGTAACAAAAGGTCATGAATATTGGTCCCCAACCGAACCGAGTCTACCGGACTATCAGGTGTGAAAACAACCTAAGATTTTAAAAACAATAATGACAACACATGGTCTAATGCTGAAGTGCATGTGTTTTTTGTGCTTGGTGGCCGACAACAAAATTCAGAGAGCTAGATGGAGCGCCACCAGTCTTCCCAGTCCTCCACCAGAGCTTCATAGCCCCCTTAGGCCGTGCAGGGTGTCATCTCCTCAGCTCCGAACTCTGCTGGTCACCGCGGAAGATCCTCCATGCTGCCGACCTGGGGCTCGGGCTCTGGGTTGGCCTTGCATGCTCTGTGGGCTCCGAGTTCCGTTGATCACCACGGAGGATCATACAAGCTGCCGACTCGCAGAAGACCGGGGTCCGGGCCTCTGCCTCATGTGATCATGAAGTCCAAACCCTGACCCGTGGCAGACGGGCGGACTGGAATGGGTCTGGGACAGAGGGTGGAAACGATTTTTAAAAACATTTTATGTATAAAAAAAAAAGTATTTTTTTTTATCAGTGAAGATTAAAATTAATAAATATATAAACGGTGCCGGCTTTATCATGAAATCCTGTTTTCACTTAAATGGCTTTATTAAATAATCTGTTAAAGTTAACTCAACTAAAAATTCATAAAGACACAAAATTTTTGGATCTCTCAGGAATATTTCCCTCAAAGATTTTTAAAGAAGAGATACAGCCTTTAGTTCAACTTTAGTCTAACCCACAGATGTACAAATCACAAAACAAGTATTAAACTTTAAAGCAAAGCTAAAAATTAAGAAAATATGTCTGTGAACAAGAAACAAAACTTCATATCCATAATAAACAATAAAAGTAGACACAATTAGTGCAAATACATCAAATTATGAAGAAAACGTATACAATTTTAAATATAGATGTTTTTGTGGAATCTGATTCATCAGAGATTTAATGGTGAACTGAAGTTCATTAAAAGTTTATCAGCAGGATTTATATATATATATGTATATATATATATATATATTAATTTGATATTCTTAATAAACTGTATTATTTTTAATTTACCAGAAACTTATCCTGATGCATGCTCAATAATCCAGGTAGAAAAATCTAAAAAAGTTACATCTGGTCCTCTGGACATTCAAAAAACAAAACAAAATGGAAATATAGAAACGTTTCGTCTCTCATCCGAGAGACTTCCTCAGTCTGAGGTGCTGTTTTCAGCTCAGTCTCTTAAATAGCACCTTCTCAGAGTGGATCAACCAGTTTTGCTGCTGACAACCAAAACCAGCTGATCACATGCTCAAGAAGGACCATCAGCCTAACAATGGATCATTAGCACACTGATGGCTGTTTACTATTCACAGTAACTACTGCCACCAGCTGGTAAGGCGCGTTAGGTCAATTTGAACCCCGCCCACGAGAACCGGTACTGAGAGTATAATGGAAACACAATGTGTACCATACCGAGCCGAGTAGAACCGTGCTATACCGGTACTAAAGGTACTAACAAACGACACAAAAAACATTCACTGTCTTACTCTCACCTAGGGACAATTTAGAGTTACCAATCAGTCTAAGATACATGTTTTTGGTCTGTGGGAGGAAACTGGAGCACATGGAGAAAACCCACGCAGCACGGAGAGAACATGCAAACTCCACCGAGAGAGGCCCTCAACCGGGATTTGAACTAGGGCGACCTGCTTACAGAGATGCGGCAGCTCTACTAACTGAGCCACCGTGTTGTCACACCATCAATCCAAATTCCTAAATGTTTATCTGTTACCTCTTCTATAATATCAGTGTTTACAGATGTGAAATCCACCGTTCCTCTTCCATGATTGAACAACATAATTTTAGTTTTCTTGGCATTTATAAACAAATTTAAGTCAGTAAAAGCCTCATAGATTTCAAGAAAACCATATGCAAGGGAACAAAAAAGTGCATGCTCAATAATCCAGGTATACAATCCAACAATTTTCAGTCAGGTCATCTGGACAGTTTCTTTTTTTTTTTTTTTTCTGAAACGTTTCACCTTCCATCCAGAAGGCTTCATCAGTCAAGGAAACACACAACACAAAACTGATTCTTCCCCTAAACAGCTTACTTCAAAGTGGAACAAAGTTATGTTGGTGCTAAGATGGTGTCTATGGCACACCCCCTCCTCTGTTGCTGGCCCTCTTCTTCGTCGACACTCATGTCAAACTGGTTCAAAACCAAAAAAGTCAATGCTCAATAATCCACATGCAAGGGACTTCACAACCTCATCTGAAATAGAAACAAAAGTATTTAAAACTGTGTCATCGACATATGAATGAGTAGAGACCTCACTAACATAATGCAATATATCATTTATATGGAGAAAAGAGATGGATCAAGAATAGAGCCTTGGGGTACACCTGACAAACTGACAAGGTTCAAGGTTCTTTTTGTCATTCACATCACATGTGATACATGAGGTGGAATGAAACTGTGTATTCAAGGTCCCAGTTACACCCAAAAATAGCCAAAATATAAAGTGTAAAAAGAAGCAGTATATAAGGATCTAAGATATACGCAAAACAATAACAATGTAAAATAATAAGGTGTATTAAACAGCAGCCTGAACAAGAGTCTGTAGTGAGCAGATGGTACAACTGGCATACCAATTTGAGATCATTTTGTGATAATTTTATTAAGTTGTGGTTGTTTTATAATAAAGCAACGTTTAGTTGTTTGGCTATTTTGGTTTGCAAAGTCTAATCCTTGCACTCGCGTTTACTATCAGAAATATTTGTAGTATTCAACCCATTGTAGAAGTTAAATGCTCAAACCAAAAATAAAAGCATTTTAGGAAGCATGTTTTTCATGGTAGACTAACATTTTGCATGTTGGCTAATGCATGTGATTAATTATTGTTCAACCCTGGGTGCAGACAATTTAATAAAAGTTATAAATGATTCAGATGTTAGGCATGTGCTGTCATTAACCCTCTCTATGTGTGCACATCTGTTGAGAGCTCAGCAACACGTAAAGACAAGAGACCAGAAAAACAAAATGTAATTACTGTCTGGGCTTTTGTTTCTGTGTGTGTGCTTGTTCTTGGAAGATTGATCAGGAGGGGCTCACACTGCCAGAGAGAAGTCTCTACCTGGAACAGGACGAGGAGAACGTGAAGGTGAACAAGCTTCAGTCCTTCAGCTTTTCTCATCATTCCCTAGAACCTATTATATTTTTTCTTAAGTCATTCGTTTTACCATCTAAGCTAATGTTTTTCCTTCTTTCACTTACTTTTTGCCATAATAAAAGTTTTTTATTTTTTCATTATTTTTGTCCTCTGTTCTCCATACCTTCTGCTATTTCTATTTCCTTTGTTGCCTCACTGACTTTTTTTGCATCCTCAGGCTTTAAAATTAAAAACGCTCAAGTGCCCATTGCAGTTTTTTTCTACTGTCATGTAGGGATGTGCAATATGGCATAAAATTCATATCACAATATGTATTGTGAAGGATGGCAATAACGATATATATCACAATATGGTTTTGGTATAAAACTTGCAATAGGAATGAAAAAAAGCATAAGGTGTCCATTTGTCATTTATTTTGAAAACTGCTATACCACAAAATAATCTCAATTAAGAAAATTCCACTACTAGATCCAGAGTTTTTAAATAATAAAAAAATCAAGTATTATGCTTCTTTCTTGTAGTGCAAAACAGTGCAAAAGATATCAAATGTAGTTTTAGCCATATGTTTTAAACAAAAGGATATGTTGTTAATTCTTAACAGTTTCCAGTCTTCTCACTTAATAAATGAACGGCAACAGAGCAGCATTTTACACTGAAACACTTCACCCTCCAAACCTCTAGTGGGCGACTCCTTCCACTTTATGGAGAGCTGACACAAAATGGCGGCCAGTTTCCTCTGTGGCTTTGACCAGAGGGCCTCGCAGTAAATTCACACAACACAGCGTTCTTTTCACAGATCAGAGAGCAGGTTTCTCTAAAGCTGACCAACGCTTACTTTAACTTTTGATGGAAAAATAAAAATAAATAAACTTTTGATGGAACACAGCGTTTGGCGCATGCGTCCGAATACAGCAACACTACGGCAAGCTGGCCGTATTTAGCTTGTAGCTTTGCTACTTAGCTCTCGAAGAAAAGACTTTACCATCGCTTACGCAGTTTTCAACTCAAAAAAAGTAACGATTAAACTGACAACTCTGATTTTACATCAGACACAGCATTACTGAGGTTAGCCGGTAGAAGACAGATCTCTATTGTAGGCTAAATGTCTATCGTTTCTACCGTGTACCGTATATATCGCACATTCCTACGGTCAAGTGGTAAAAGACTTACAGCACGGCCTGGCTGGCACCGTACATGATACAATGTTAAACAAGACAGTATTGATTTGACAACTAGGCCAGATATTCAACACAATATTTAATCATACAACTCGGTCAGTTCACTCTTTTCCTCACTGCTCATCTCCCCCACAGCATAGAGCTGTCCGTCACAAGACACAGAGCTGACATGACTGCAAACCTCGAGGTGCTGGGTTAAACAATACTCAAGATACAGTTATAAACATGGGGGAAAGTGCCCACCAGGGTAGAATATTTCCATGGCAACAGTGACAGTGCAACTTTATCTTTGCCAAACAAAAGAGCACTGTACCTGTGTGGAACATTTTCTGATGCACACAGTCATTGCCTGTGAGAGGTGTCGGCTTCATCACAGCTAGCAGCTCAATGAGGAAACAGTTGTTATAAAGCAGCTCTTCAGGAGCGTTACTCTGACACAGAGTTGGGCTCATATCGCTCACAAGCATCATCATGAATTTAGATGATCGCTCAGTCTAAGAAATGGTCTCTGGAAATGGTCTCTGACTGACTCTGAAGTTAATTTCTCCCCCTGCCTCCTCTCCCTCCTTCTTTTCTTCTCCCCCATCATTTTTCTTCGATCCTCTTGTACTTGTCTCGTTTGTCCATCTGGCTCATTGCTCGGTTCCATCAGTCCACCTGTTTGCCTCTGTCACCCGCTGTGCTTTTGTTACTTGTGCACTTTGCCACATGTCACCCTCGTTACCAGTCATTACCAGTGAGTTTCCACTGACAATATTTTACTGTTTCCCAGATCCTGGCGGCATACAAGGCCCTGATGGAGCGCTTGATGAGCATGCTGGGAGCTCACAACGCCACACAGAAGTCCAAAGAGATTATACAGCTGGAGACACGGCTGGCCAATGTACGCTGACGACACATGCGTGCACTCAGATCTGTGTGACCATGATGGTGAATAAAACCTCACGTCTCTCCTCAGATCACCATGTCAGAATACGACGACCAAAGAAAAGACATCAGCTCCATGTACAACCGCATCGCCCTCAAGCAGCTGCAGCGCATTGCTCCTAGTGTGAGTGCAGCACGCTCACGCACACACGTGCATCGTTCACAACAACGTGTGTGTGCTCATGCGCTTTGGACAGAAGCTGGTGTGATAGATTGAGATTTGAACTCCAAGTGAGCATTTTAAGGAGTGTGAGTGGGAAGTCAGAGGCTGTGTGTGTGTTTGGGAGGTGATGAAGCAACACTCACACAAACACACACGGGCCTCAGCGACTTACAAAGGCTGTCTGCCCTGCAGGGGCAGACGAGCAGATTGAAAAACAGAATGAAAGAAGTCGGTAGAGAGAAAAGTAGAAAATGAGGGGTATGTGGGGAGGCATAGAAAAAGAAGGAGGAAGGGAAGAGAGGAGAAGGAGACACTGGAGACAGAGTCAGAGGAAGAAGGCAGCTTTTCTCAGAAGAACTAACAGGGACCAAGAATCCCTCAGAGGCTTCCTGATCAATGGAAGGATGGATGGAGGTTGACACAGAAGAAATGGAAACTAAAGCAGGTGCAAAGTTAAATTTTAGGAATCCAGAAATAAAAACTATAAGTAAAGCGTTAAAGAAACAAAAACTATAAGTAAAGCGTTAAAGAAACAAAAACTATAAGGGGCCTTTTACACGGCGTGTATTTTGAGTGCATCCACAGTTTTCTCTCTGCGGTTCTGCTGATCATTTACACGACACCAGTGGCCCCCCTCTTTGAATCCGGAGGTTTCTGAACCCACCTTCCAGAGTGGAGGTTTCTCACTGACCGCCTGCTGATAATGGAAACATCTCCCGCTGAGGCTTTGTGTTAAACCATATGCGCACACGCATGCGTGGACAGACGCTATATTTCTATCAACATGACGGCGGACACACTGCTTTCAGAACGACTGATGGAATATATTTTTAATCTCGTAGATAATCTACATCTGATTCCAGGTGTTGTGACCAACATCTGTGTTGGAAGAGACACAGTCTGATCCAGTTCTAATGTCGCTGTTTATAGAATGAGGCACGCGCACACGTCGCGCTGCACTATAACATCTAAATGTCAAATCTGTCGACTCTCATCCAAAATCCAACTTTAACTTGTTGTTACGTTGTTGTTAGCTGATTAGCCAAGAGGAAAACAGTGTGCCGAGGCAGCAAGCATGAGCAATAGGTGAAGGTACAAAATTCACCGCGCCATCTAATGACCCGGCATGGTAAGTACAGCGGAATCAGGAGGGCGGGGGGTTATGCTCTGGATGCATGTAAACCCAAAATCCGACCGTGTCAACGCAAATCTTTTCCTCTAATTAATATACGAAAAAAAC